GGTCATTTGTGGGGGGGACGCGGGGGGACGCCATCCCCCCGGGTGAGGTGCGGGAGGGCGGGGCCTGGAGCTCCCTGCTGGTGCCCGCTGGAGGTCGCCGCCGGCTGTGGGGAGGACACACTTCCGGTGATGTCAGGGGGTGTGGCATATGCTAATGAGTTATGTTAATGAGTCTCCCTAGCTCTTTTTCTACGAAATGACCCCTGGGTTGTACCCTAACGAGGTCCCTCCCCTCCCCAAACCCACCCTCTCCAGGCTCCACCCCCAAATTTCCAGGAATCTCCCAGGTCAGTGCTGGCTGTGTGTTGATTTGGGCTACAATAGGAGGCCCGTTCACACGTTCAGTCTGAGGCACGCTGCCTCCCCCCCTCCCATATGTTTCCAGCTTTAGAACAGCACCGATGTGTATTTTATTTATTTTATTTACTTATGTGTCTGCTGGCACATCCTTCTTGGAAGCAATTCAGAGGAGAACATCTCTCTGTTGGACTTTGGAGCCGGGCAGCTATACTTGGGGTAAGGACTCTCCTTGTCCTCAGTTCTTCAGCCAGCCTTTGTCACTGGTTCATACGGAAGATTTCTCCCCTTTCATCAAGAGAAAGGCCCGGATGGCATACATCCGAAAATTCTGAAAGACCTCAAATGTGAACTTGTGGATCTCCTGACAAAAATATGTAATCTTTCCTTAAAATCTGCCTCCACTCCTGAGGACTGGAAAGTAGCAAATGTCACTCCCATCTATAAAAAGGGTTCCAGAGGCCAGTCAGTTTGACACTGATACTGGGTAAGTTGGTGGAAACTGTTATTAAGGAAAGAATTAGTAGGCACATTGATGAACAAGAGCTATTGAGGCAGACTCAGGTTCTGTAAGGGAAGATCTTGTATCACTAATCTGTTAGTGTTTTTTTGAGGGAGTCAACAAACAAACAAGGGGGATCCAATAGATATTGTTTACCTTGACTTCCAGAAAGTGTTTGATAAAGTTCCTCATCAAAGGCTCCTAAGTAAGCTCGATAGTCACAGGATAAAAGGACATATCCTCTTGTGGATCAAAAACTGGCTAATTAATAGGAAACAGAGAGTGAGTATAAATGGGCAATTTTCTCAGTGGAGGGTGGTAAGCAGTGGGGTACCACAGGGATCAGTACTCAGTCCGATGCTTTTTAACTTGTTCATTAATGATTTGGAGTTGGGAGTAAGCAGTGAAGTGGCTAAACTTGCAGATGACACAAAGTTGTTCAGGGTGGTAAGGAGCAGGGAGGATTGTGAGGCACTCCAAAGGGATCTGTCGAGGATGGGCGAGTGGGCATCAACGTGGCAAATGGGGTTCAATGTGGCCAAGTGCAAAGTGATGCACATTGGAGCCAAAAATCTTAACTATAAATACACATTGATGGGGTCCGAACTGGCTGAGACTGACCAAGAGAGAGATCTTGGAGTCGTAGTGGATAACTCAATGAAATGCAACTGCAATAAAAAAAGGCCAACGCTATGCTGGAGATTATTAGGAAGGGAATTGAAAACAAATCAGCCAGTATCATAATGCCCCTGTATAAATCAATGATACGACCTCATTTGGAGTTCAGATTTGGTCACCACACCTCAAAAAGAATATTATAGCATTGGAAAAAGTGCAGAAAAGGGCAACTAGAATTCTAAAAGGGTTGAAACAGTTTCCCTATGAAGAAAGGTTAAAGCGCTTGGGGCTCTTTAGCTTGGAGAAACAACGGCTGAGGGGTGACATGATCGAGGTTTATAAGATTATGCATGGGATAGAGCAGGTAGAGAAAGAGGTACTTTTCTCCCTTTCTCACAATACAAGAACTCGTGGGCACTCCATGAAATTGCTGAACAGTCGGGTTAGAACAGATAAAAGGAAGTCCTTCTTCACCCAAAGTGTGATTAACACATGGAATTCACTGCCACAGGAGGAGGTGGCGGCTACAAGCACAGATGGCTTCAAGAGGGAATTAGATAAGCATATGGAGCAGAGGTCAATCAGGGGCTATTAGCCACAATGTGTAGATAGGAACTCTCAGTCTGGGGCAAGGGATGCTCTGTATTCTTGGTTCTTTGGGGAGGCAGTGGGAGGGCTTCTGGTGTCCCAGCCCCACTGGTGGACCTCCTGATGGCAGCTGTTATTTTTGGCCACTGTGTGACAGAGTGTTGGACAAGATGGGCCATTGGCCTGATCCAACATTGGCTTCTCTTATGTTCTTTTGAGGCAGAACTAACTCCAGCCTCCTTAACAGCACACAATTTGCTGCAGAGGATCATTGTATGCCCCTCCTCTCGCCCGGCTCTGGGCTGCAAGGCCCTGCGAGAAAACCTGTCCTCCAATCTGCCTACCCGCCAGACAGAGCAAAACCACTGAGGAAACTCTCAACACCACCCGTACAACATTATTGAGGAAATTAGTCAACTTACTGAAGGAAGAAACCTCTTCGTACTCCTTTAATTTATATGTACACTTAAAAACAAAACAAAAACACAATGTCCCCCACGCAGGCCCGTAGCTGCAGTGGGGCCTTTTGGGGCCACGCCCCCTTAATTAAAAGTTCTGCCCCACAAATAGCCATGCCAGAAGCTTTATTTTTGAGGCGAGACCCACACACAGCAGCCAGCGTGAGAGTGCCACGGCTTTCCCTCGGACTTCCCATCTCCCTTCCACTGTGGAGTTGGGGGGAGGCATCATGGGACCTGGGAAAAGACAGCTCAGTGCCTTTTCAGTTCCCTTCCACAGGGCAAGAAAGTTAAGAAGGGCACTCAAGAGGGGCACCGTCTGAGAGATATCAAACTTAATCAGCCTGTAATGTGCATCTAAATTGGTTACAGCTAGACAAACAACTTAGTTGCTATATAATATTGAAAGATGCCAACTCCTGAATACAGAATTCCTGGGGATATTAAAAAAGAATTCCTGGCAGAGAAAGTGGGGGAGAACCCAAACCCAACTCACAAAGAAAGAGGTATTGTGTACTGTGGCTCTCAATAGGGTTGCCAAGTTAAAAAAAACTAACCGGCGGGGGAGCCTGTTCCTGGATGCGCCGCCAGCATGTCACCGGAAGTGATGCGTGACGTCGACCACGTTGAGGGCGTGGCCCCGATTGTCGAAGGGAAAACCATAGAGTTTTCCCTACGACGATCTGGGCCACGCCCCCAACGTGGTCGACGTGGTTGCGTCACCTCTGGTGACACAGCCATGCTGCGCTTCGGGGGGTGGAGTTCCCCCCGGGGCCTGATTCCACGGTGGCAGAAATCGGGCCTCCGAAGTGGGGGTTTACCCGCCCCCTGCCCCCACTCGGCAGCCCTAGCTCTCAACCAGGGGTCCCCCACTTTTTTTGAGTCTGTGGGTACATTTGGAATTTTGACACAACACGCTGGGTGCAGCAACTAAATGGCTGCCACAAAATGGCTGCTGCAGGAGGCAGAGCCGGCCACAAAATGGCTGCCACCGCTTAACTTCAGTAACACAGGGTAGATCCTTGTGCTGTGGTGTCAGCTGCTGCCAAAGCCACATTTTCAAAAAGTCTGCACAGCCAACCGAATTTCCAATAGTCAATCGGATTCCCTGCTGGGCAAAACCCACTTCCTGAAACACTTGGTAGGTGCCATGGCACCTATATGCATCACATTGGGGACCCCTGCTCTAAACTATGGCCCTTGGAGAGGAGTTGTAATTCCAGGGGATCCCCAGGCCCCACCTGGAGGCTGTGGAAACTCGAGCTGCAGGCTCAGAAGAGTCAAACAACAACTATATACACGGCAAACACCTTTTTTATAAGTTAAAGTGTTCTATATGTTCCATCTTATAAAGTGCATTGTGTATTATTCATAATGTTCTAGAACAGGTATATATTCACTACATGCAATATCAACAATAATAATCAGTTTGTACAATCTAATGGCTACCAGTCAATTTACATCCTTTTTACACAATCAACCCCAACGGGAGTTTCTAGAATTGTACACCTGCTTCTCCTTGCTTGAAAGTCTTCTAAAGGGGGAAGTTTCCTTTTGTGGTTACATTGAAGTTGAAATTGATTTTTGTTGCTGGTCCTATAAAAGGCCCATTCAGCAGCTGACATTCATAAACGGAGCGCTCCTGTCTTTCTCAAGAAGTATTGACCTTGTTCAACAAAAGGAAACTTCCCCCTTTAGAAGACATTCAAGCAAGGAGAAGCAGGTGCACAATTCTAGAAACTCCCGTTGAGGTTGATTGTGTAAAAAAGGATGTAAATTGACTGGTAGCTATTAGATTGTAATAGGTAAAGGTTCCCTTGCTCGAAAGCCAGTCGAATCCAACTCTAGGGTTGCGGTGCTCATCTCCGTTGTCCGAAGACGTTTCCATGGTCATGTGGCCGGCATGATTAAACACCAAGGCTCACGGAACGCTGTTACCTTCCCACCAAAGTGGTACCTATTTATCTACTTGCAATTTCTTGCTTTCAAACTGCTAGGTTGGCAGGAGCTGGAACTAGAGACGGGAGCTCACTCGGTCATGCGGCAACCCGGGTCTCAAACTGCTGAACTACTGACCTTCCACAGCCTGCAGTTCAGTGTCTTAACCACTTGAGCCACCGCAGCTTAGATCGTACAAACTGATTATTATTGTTGACATTGCATGTAATGAATATATACCTGTTTTAGAATATTATGAATAATACACAATGCACTTTATAAGATGGAACATATAGAACACTTTAACTTATAAAAACGGTTTTGTTTGACCCACCTAGAGGCTGTCAACTTCTGCCTAGTGGAATACGGTGTCCTCCTCTGATGGGCAGCAGCTCCTCCTAGCTCTGCTAAATAAGATCCTTTAACGAGAGACGCCAGCGACTGACTTTGGGTCCTTTGGCACGCAAAGCAGTTATTTTTAAGGCCCGGTTCTCCCCTCCTCCCCCACCCTTAACCCCAGCCAAGAGGGCTTGTCCACAATTCCTCCTGAGTCAAAGGTATCTGAGGAATTCCGATGAGAGGAAACCACTTTCCAGTACCTTCGTACGGCTGAATCCAAGTGGCTGGGTGACTTCCCTGGAGTATATTGTGGAGATTTTCGTTGGCATTTCTAGAAAGCTGGCTTCCAACAGCCTGAGCTGAAAGGTCATCCGTATCTCCCTCTGTGGAGAAGGTGAGCGGGATCGGATTCCCCACACTTACTCTACACAGAGCTGCATGACTCAGCCTCCTCGTGCTACTGTATAAGGGCACCAGAACTCTCCGGGCAGAAGTGTCTTGAGATCCCACAAGAGCCCTATCAGCCCCCCCCCACATTGCCAGTTCCTTAATTGTATAGAATCATAGAGTAGAAAGAGATAGGGTTGCCAAGTCCTACCTTCATAATAGCAGGGGAGTCCTGCGCCCTGCCTGGGAGCTCTTTGGCGTGCGCGCTTCACACACGTGCCGCGATGACGTCACCCAGAAGTGACATCATCACGCTGGGCACATTACCAGGCGACACTCTAGCAACCAGCCTGAAAACTCTATGGTACCATAGAGTTTTTAGGCTGATTGCTAGAATGTCACCCAGCGACGTGCCCAGCGTGATGATGTCACTTCTGGAACCTCAGCAGGGTATAATGCCATAGAATCAATTCTTCAAAGCAACTGATATCTCCGGGGAAAAGATCTCTGCTATCTAGAGACCAGTTGTAATTCCAGGAGATCTCCAGGTCCCGATTGGAAGTTGACAACTGTAGACAGAACCCAGTTGTCAGTCTGTTTTCATAAATGCTGCTAGTAACCTTATTTTACTCTCTTGAATTTCTGCCTATTGTAGCCGTTAAAAGAACAAGGTCACCATTCTCCAAGACGTCTCTGACCAAATGACAGTCAGGAATCCAGCAGGAGAGGTTCATCATCTCCATGCGAGGAAAAGTTGCACCTGCTGACGTTCTGCCTGTCATGCAGAAAAAGATAGTATTTACATCCAAGTGGAAGTCTGAAATCTGCCCAAATCTTGAGAACAGGAGAGAGAAAATGGAAGAATATGCTATTATGGTGAAAATGACAAACTATATGAATAAAAAGCCAATCAGTGAATTTGAGAATTAGTGGAGAGCCTTTTATAATTATTACAAACTACATAGATTAGATAAAGCTGTTAGAGGAGTTATAAAGAAATTTAAATTGATTAATACTCAAAATCATATAATTATATTTTCCTACTGATATTTATTAATTTTTTATAGTTACATATTTACTAGTTATTATATTATAGTATTAACCTTATAGAAAAAAAAATCTTACTCTTTTCTTATGTTTCTTGCTTATATGTTTTCCTCCCTAGCCCTATAGATAGGAAATAATGGAAATATACATGGAAACATATTATGCTGAAGTATTAATTATTTCACCATATTTTGATTTGTTATGATATTCTGCAGGGCCCTGATCTCCTCCGGGAGCTCATTCCACCAAGTAGGAGCCGCCAATGAGTAGGCCCTGGCCCTGGTTACAGCAAGCCGGGCCTCCCTGGGGCCTGGGATCACTAAGCGATGTTGTGCCCCAGACCACAGTGCTCTTTGGGGTATATACGGGGAAAGGCGGTCCCTCAGGTATGTCGGACCCTGGCCATTTACAATTATGGGATGAATAACCTGTGTATACCGGAGTCCAATTTATCCAGATCCCCAGAATGCGCGGTGCGTCTGGGGCACACTTTAGATAACACCAGCCACCAAGACTTTTCCAGCCACTTCAGCACTCACCAGCATTCACTGCTGTGGAGGTCCTACATAGCACCACACTTACACAGTCCAGTGGTACACTATATACAAGTTTATTTATAATATTTATACTCCACCAACAAAGCGCTCCGCCATACACAGTGAGAACAAGAAGAAGGATCCAGAACTATAACACATCCACATATATCCAGATTACAACGAATCAGCTTCATGCTGAGTCATAATGACTGAACTTGCTTCAGTTCCAGTCAGAATCGGTTGGAACTTGTTATCTACAGCATGTCAGCTGTCACTTTAGATCCTGCTAATCTGAGTGCTGGAGATTAACTGTCAACAGGGGAGGCTTCCAACTGGCTCTGTCAGTAAAAGGGTGGGGGAAGGGCTCTTTCCAGGGCTCTTTCAGCCTTGGAGGGAGGGAGGGAGGGAGCCTTGGGGCCAGGTCTGACAAGGGTTGCCAGTGCCAGGCTGGGGAATTCCTAGAGGTTTTGTGGTAGACTCTCAGGAGGGCTGGGTTTGGGGAAGGGAGAGGCCTCAGCTGGGTATAATGCCACAGAGTCCAGCCTCCAAAGCAGCCATTTTCTCCAGGGAGACAGATCTCTGCTGTCTAGAGTTCACTCTCCCGCTCATTATGTAACTTCCCGCCGGACCTACTGACTCTTGCTGAATTTTGTTATAACAATTCCTGCCACACCTCTACAGGAATGTCACCATTCAAAGCTGCTTTTGGTTATGACAGCCCCCCGATCCCATTTCTGACTTCCACTCCGGGGAAAGGGGGGGAGGCGGCTGAGTGGAGCTCTGCTTTAAGAGAGGCGTGGCCCAAGATCTGCGAAGCTTTAGACATGGCTAAAGCTGCTTACAAGTGTTGTGAGATATTTGGGTGTGGCATGTGTTTGTAAAAGCATGCTTACCCATGTCACCCACACTCCCCCCTCAGTTCGTGTGTGTCTCCTGAGTGTCGCCCCGTACCAAAGGCAGATGTGCAAGCTTGGAAATCACTAAAATAAACTAATCTTTATTATAGAAAATCCATCCCCATTTTCACAGAAACCAAGATGCTTAGTGCCATCAGCTTTCCAATTCCAGCTGGAGATGCCCAGAACTGAAACAAGAACCAAGCCAGAAACAAGAACTAGGCCAAAAGAAGGCCTGGAGAAGGCCTAGCCTATGGCAGGAAGCAACCAGCAGGCCTCACCACCAGACCAGTCACATAAGCTTAATGGGGAAACAACTCCTCCTAGATCCTCAGCTAGTCCATTAAATTATCCCACCACCAGGCCAGGAGAAGGAGGCCTAGCCTAGGGCAGGCTGCAGCCATCAGAACTCACCAGCAGCAGACCACAAGCCCACCCCCTCAGACACCAATCCCAACAGTAAAAAAACAACAACAGTAAAATCAGAAAATGTGCCAACTTGGTGCCAGCAGCCACAAACCGTTACAAAACAAGCCTGATGAATACACATCTTCAAAGCTTAATATGTCTTTTCTCAAGCAGTAATGTCTTTCAGATTTTAACCATTAAAACACTGGAAAGACAGGAGACAGAAAGGAATGGATGAGTGATATAATAACTGACCAGCCAGCACTTGTCTCTAGCCAAGATTTGGCATGCAGGCCTCCAGTTGCTGACCACCGATCTGAATTAACTTAGAATGGCGCAATATGCTACCTGTGAATTTCTGGTTTTTGGTAACAGCCACTTGCTGGATCCATGAAGGAGAATGAAATGGCCTAGAGAAAGACAAGGAAATGGCACCAGCAGCTAGAACATGCTCTGTGGAACTTTAAGAAGTGTGCAGACTTATCAAGGATGATGGGCCAAGATGAATGGTGTGGTACCGTGTTGTATGGTTGATTAATGAGGTGACAGTTGAATTGGACTTGCCTAAGAACTTACAAAATATCCATCCAATTTTCCATTTCAGTCTACTGAAGCCTTGCCCAGCGTCTAATCCCTGGCACCCGGAGCCGACTCGGCCACCCCCCCTTCTGGTGGGGGGGGAGGGACATCATTAAAATGAAACGTGGACAATTGTTCTACCTGGTGGAATGGGTGCATTGGGGTCCTGAACATCGGGAGTGGGTGGCGGGGAAAGATGTGTGGGCCCCCAAACTCCTGCGCAAATTTCACACTTAGTTCCCAGGCAAACCGGGCGGTCGCCTGTCGGCTGTGGGAGAGGGTTGATGTATTTTTGAGAGGGCAGGATGTCAGCTAGCTGCCATTTTATGTTGCTTCTGTCCTTCCATTCCCGCTTGCTCACAGCTCAGCAGCTTTGCGTAAACGGTGCCTTGGAGACCGTGGGAGGCCTTGTAAGGATGGGAGGGCTTGCGGTCCACCACTGGTGTGAATCTTTCTGCTCTCAGGGGCCCTGCGAGTCTCCCGCTCATTATGTAACTTCCCACCGGGAGAATTCCCCCGCGTGCGCTCGAAGTTCATTTGCTTAGCTATTCGCCTCATCTGGCTATATGTACGGATGTTCCCGCACTATAATTATTCCTAACAATAATCCTGTGGATATGGTACCGGTTTTGTACTCTAATAAAGCATAACGCTTCTCGGGAAACATGTGTGAAGAGTTACTTGCTGTGGAACCTGACAGAAGCAGGCAAGAGGCTGGGAGCATGATGGCGGCAGAAAGAGAAAAAGAGTGATGCGGTGGGGAGGCAGAAAAACAAAGAGAATGATGATGGATCAGGAAAAAAAAGAGGAAGTAACATGCATGAAGGAGAGAGAGAGAGAGTAAGAAAAGGGGGGACAGAAGGGAAAAGAGTGTGTGTTGGGTTTAAAAATTGGTATTTAGCAGAGAAAAAATAGCTTAGTAGTGCCAGAGTAAAATAATTCAGACTCAGAGTCCATGTGTGATTAAAATAGAAAGTTTTTACTACATTCTAGCATGGGGAAGGGTAATTGGGATGAAAATAACAACGGAGCTAAATCTCCTACATCTTTACACTACAAAGACGAGACTAGAAGAGAGTTATGGCTTCTCTTGCTTCTTTTTGAGAACAGCAAACAAAGATGGGAAGAGGAGCCATAAAATGCTAAAACACTTTGACACTTTCCTCCCAATCAGACTTCTAGATCAGGGAGAAATTTCCCGGGCTTCTATTCCTAAAACAGCATTGGTTACATAAAACACATGTGACTTCCTGTTAGCAACACAAACAAACATTTAACCCCAGATATACTGAGTGTTTTCAACTTGAAATACCCAACAGTGTGAGATAGGTAGGGGGAGAGGGGAGGATGACTATCCCGCAAGATTCTTGTGGGTCTCCACTTGCACTCTTATAATGTGTTCAACAAATGATGTTTCATGCTTCTCATCTTTCCCTTTGTCCTTTTTCATTTCATATCCCCTTAAATGGTAATTAAAAAAAAAAAAGATAGCATCATAAATCACTTTTGAGTTC